TTTGGGACAGGATGAATCTAAATTATGTCGAATTTGGTTTAGATCACATCATTTACGTAAATATTAAAAACAAGGATGTTGCAATGGCATTATGTGGAAAGTGGACATACAGCGAGGGACGCACCAAAACATCATACTATCAGACATGGTATTTGTTTTCTGTCACTTAGGAGATTTTCATGATTATTAGGTCAAAATATTTTTCAGCATGTGACTACATCTTCTCAGAGTAAAGAATCCATTCATTTCAAGAAGGCAATAAGAGCTGGGGAAAATCCTTAATGATTTTTAGGGACTTGAACATGATACAGTTGAATTGTAGATATTAGTCACTATCTTTACGTTCACAGTCGAGGTATCTTTCTACCTTTAGGTGAACATCCATTTGCAAATCTAGCGTACAGTTTCATCCAGTGCTGCTGCAAAACATGGTTAAAGTGTGAGTCTAGTAAAATTATTGGATAAAAATGGCAGTTAGGAAGAATAAAAAGATTCTAAATTTAAGTTGGTTTCCATCCATTACTGAAATGTTCAGGCGACGTCAAATTCCAGGCAGATCAAATAGGCTGCCAGCATTAAAAATTCAATCAGATCCTGCACGGAAATAGATTGTGAAGGATCATTCTTCATCTGTGATGCTGTTGTATAAATGCAGAGCCACACGAACGTCTTGTTAGGGTTTATTAAAGTCTGAAATATGTAAGCCAAAATTAGCTTTCTAACTCTGAAAATCTGTCAACATTAACCCAGGCCAAAAAAAAATTTAAGTCAAAGTCAGTGGAGCAACCTCTTTTTTTTCTGCCAGTCTGTGCTGCGGGAATAATTTGTCGGCAGGAAGTCGTATGAATAAATAATGTTTTTGAGTGCTGAGATCGCTCGTTGGCAGATCTAAGAGTGGTGCACATCGTTAGCAGGTCATCATTAATTTATCCACCAGTGTCTGTAACATTCGTCTGCAGCCTTTGGTGACTTTTGCATTGTAAATTAATTATTTTGTAAAATGAACAGAAGTGTTTCACTTCAGAGACACAAGTATTTATTGTGTAGTCACAGCCTACAGTTTGCATAAATGAGATGATTTTAACCATGAAGGAATGTTAAAATGCATTCTGAAGAATGTACGAAAGAATCAGGTTGCTACCAGTGAAGAGCTTGCTCAACAGTGGGTGGATGCAAATCCATATAAATGCATAGTGAGGACTTTTGAGCAAAAACTGTTCTACAGTATGCCAGGGACATACTGAAGTTTAGCAGGAAGTTCAAAAAGGTAGTTTGTGTGATAAATCCTCTTTTTCATCTATAGAAGAATCCTTCAAATTCATCCCAAAAGTACTGCCATGAAAAAAGATGCAATCAAAATATCCTCCAAGAACAATTTCTTCCAACAATCCAGAATAATTTTTCAACATGATGAGCCACTGGTTTATAAAAACTTTGAACATTTAGTTGGGAAACTCCCCAGAAGAGTGTTAGCTCCCCAGATAAAAATCCACCATAATATGGAGGACTATAGAAGTTATGAGAAAAAAGGATAAATGCTGTATTTTTATGAATATAATCTTTAAATGGCCGTGCAGTATAAAATTAAATAAAAACAAAACACATTTTTGCAACAGACTATTCACAAATCAATCCACAAAGTTGGCAAAAACTTTGGATGCTTTACTTTGTTTTAAAAGCTTTTTGGATTAGAGAGGAAAGTAGAGTTAACTTTGTCTACTCCTGTTCTCCTCTTCCCTTCTCGGTCTGGTTGTCAGTTTTGTATTGACAGGCTTCCTGCCAGGTATTTATCCCAGGTTCTCTACAAATGAGTTTCATTCTTTTCATGTCCCTTAAACTGAGAGACAGCAAATATTTACCGGTAATTGATCTGTGCAGATGAGTTCAGTTTGACGCTTTGTTTTGACCTTCATAAAGACCAAAAACCAAGACTGACATTGTTTTAGCTACAATAAATGTAACTTTAATTATGATACGTTATTGAAATTTATGCTATCAGCACTTCAGTAGACTTTGGAAATTTATTGAAAAGCCTTTACTTATATCTCAATATCTAATCTTTGTATGCAAACAAATTAAAGAGGGCTTTGTTTACATTTCAACCATGCATGGGCTGCACAGCCAATTGAGACAAAGTGTTAAATAATTTTATCTGATGGAATGAAATAAAAATATTTAGGAAAATCATGTGATCCATCCCTACATATCTGATTCTAAAACCAGCAGAGAAACCACGACTCTGAGAAATTTGCTTTGTTTTGTTTTGTTTTCCGTCTTTTCTTTTCTTCTCTCCTCTCCTCTTGTTCAGCTGTCATATACATGCGCTGCTAACGTATTCATGGTGCCATTCTCATCCCATCTTCAGCCGGTAAACTAGGAAACAACTTCCAATTAAATGGGTCGGATCAGTGAGCCACCCTGCCTGGCCCTGATAACATTATCCCACGTCATGCACTGCTGCCAGCGCCTGGATTATAAAATAATGATAAAGAAAATTAAGAAGAAGACCGAAGAGTGAAGGAGGGAAATGGTTTTGGAAGATGAGGCGAGGCAGGCTCATCCTCAGGCACTGTCATCGCTAATTGTATACTATATATTTGGTTCTCTGTGAATACGCAGGGTTATGTAAGATTTCAAAGCTCTTCCACTATCACCAGAACCAAAAACTTCAATATGCTGTTGAGCTTCTACAGCTTCCGGTCCAAACCTATCCGCCTACTGATAAGGCTCTTACATAACGAACTCAGTTATCCTGAGTCAGAGGCAGGTAGAAACATTTCCTGTGATAACCTGCCGAAAAATTATTATGAGGAGCAAATATATTGTTTTTTTATATATTGTTGTTTTTTTCTGCTATTGTGTTTTCTACAACTGAAATGTTATAGATTTCCCTTAGATCTTTTTTGAGATTCAAGATAGTCAAAAATTATGGTATGCCAAGCATAAGAACTGTGAATCCTTTCCTTGCTGATGCTGTTGTCCAAGAGCCTCGTCTTTCCTTTATTCTCTTACTGAGTCCTGGAGTCTGTCTCTGCAAAGATAAGAGAACTGCTCTTTTGCCAGACCACAATCACCACACAGACCATGCCATTAATGCAGAAGATAAAAGCCAGTTTACAGATGGTGGGAAGGGACAGATGAAAAATCCAGACATCTCTAAATGTAACAAGGGGAAATTATTTTTTTATATTATTTTATTTGTTTATTTTTGCCGTAATTTCCTACAGGAACATCTGGTATTTCGATTCTGCACATACAGCGTACATACAGCTGTAACATACCGCTGTAGCCAGAAAAAGACACATTTCTCTCTTATTTCATTATAACATCAAACTAAAGTTCTTCTTTTTATGCCTAACTATCAAAGTGGTGCGTGAAATGTGTAAGACAACCCAAGAACAAAACCAACAGACTCTGAGAAGGTGAGAGTGACATTCATCATAGTGAAATGAGTCCTGAACTGACAGAACTCGTTCCTCACTAAGCCAGGAACTATTACTCCAAGATTAACATCATGTTGTTATGAGGTTTTGCTGCAGGAGGGACTGGTGTACCTTAACATGAAGTGAGAATATTGAAGCAGCATCTCAGGAGATCTTGGTCACAAATATGTCCAACTGATCAATGACCCGAATCATACAGCCAAATTGGTTACAAAGTCAATGTTTTGTGTTGGCCCTAGTATAAGTCCTGCAGAAAATATATTGGAAAAAAGCAATATGAAGGAAGACTCATGATCTTGTATCAGCATACATATGCAATGCTGACATTTTCTCCCCAGACAGAAGATGCATGTTCATGCCAATTGAAATCAGGCGCTTGTAGGCCTGGAGCATTAGACACAGTTAAAAATGGATTGTTCTGCCACGTCTCCCCTGTTACCTCCCAGAATAAGCGGCCCAGTCTGCTGTCCCATATCATTTCAGCCCTATTCCATTCAGCTCTGGCAAATATTGGTGTAGCATAATGACAATGGGCAGTCGCCGAAGGGAAGATCAGGGAGCTCTGATTTAAAATAGAATGCTGTTCTGGTTCACTAAGTGTTATAAAGTTGGAGGATTTCATCCTGGTTGACATTGGTGGAGGAGAGCCAATATTTAACAGGGCAACATTAAATGCATATACAGGAACATATTTAGGCTGTAATTGCTGAAATGCCATAGTCAAAAGGATTAGAAACCATGTGAAAAATACTACTAACTAAGCCAATTTTGCATTATGGTTTTAACTTGGGATATACTAAAAAAATACTTTTTTTGAGTATCAGAGTTAAAGGGACTGAATAACAGTACTTTGTGTTAACATACCACAAAAAATCCCAACAAACTAAGCTATAAGGGGCAGTAATAATTATTCACAGCACAGCATTCTGTAGCTCAAAAAACTAATGTTTTTATTTAACAAAATAAGCTTTCTACTACATAGCTATATGTTTAGGTGGATACAAATCATTTTTCTGTTCCAGTCAAGTAATAATATTTCTAGCTCTACATTTTATTCCTGTGTTTTGTTTTTCTTTTGAGACTGCAAGTTTAAATAAGTCAGGATTTTAAATCAACTCAAAAATGTGGCCATTGATTCGCAGGTGTAGAACTTTATTGTCCAGGTTTAATTAGTATTTTATATGTGTGTTTATATGTGTGGCTTGACTTGCAATGGTTTTCTCTTACAAATTATGTGATCCAGATGAATGAAGTAATCATAGCACTAATCTTCCATGAAATATTTATTCTGGTTTGTCAGAATGTGATGACTGATGTGTTTGGATTCAAGTACAGAAAGAGGCCTCAGTATTGATTCATGCTCTTCCGAGAATGGGATTCCTGCCACAGAGGGAATTGGACAGATCTCATTATCTGTCCAATACTTGTACATTTCCCTCACAGAGGCAAAAATGTCAGTGTTTAAAGCTCATGTAATGTGTGTAAATTGAAGCTATATGACTTCATTGTGTTCTTTGATTTTTTATTTTATTTTATTTTATTGTTTTTGCCTTGCAGAGAGTTGTTTGACATTACAACACAAGAAGAAAAACGTAAAGACGACTGGACCAACAAGATATCTTCAAGTTTGGTGGTTACATGCTTGGTGTTCTTTGACTTAGAGGAAAAACTACTCTACCAAGCAACAGGAAACATGGATTTTGTAATGAAGCAAGCGTTGGGTGGTGAGTATGTGACTACAATCTCAATGCTCCTCTGCTCTAAACATTTTTAGTTAAGAAATAATTGCCAAAGAACCAGAAACTCTCCTGCAGACTCCACTGAAAACTATACAGTAATATTGTCCAGTGCTTTAAAAAAAGAAAAAAACTCATGTGATCATTGTTTTTGTTTCTGTAGTTATCAGTGCTGAGCATGCCACATTGCTAATAATTTTGCTATTCATCTAATTATTCAAATTAAAGACATTCCACCTTCAAGTAGAAAGTTGCTACAGAAAAATTTAAACGACAAGACATTCAGAATCCTAGTATGAAAGGTTGAGAGAGAACAAAAACTGGGATAATGGTTTAATCCAGGTGAGTGAAAGAAAAGCTGGAATGAGTGACAATGGAGTGAAAATTCAAGTGACTCTAGGGTGCCTGCCAGGGAGAAACCCTCACCTGAAAAACCTAAAAGTGCACAAGTACAGATTGACAAACTTTAAAAAAAACGCTACACAGTGGAACAAACTCCAAACAAACACATGAAAAGCCTGAAGTACAGAACAACTAGTGACAGACTGTGAAAAAATAATTCTGATTCGTCCAGCCTTGAAACAAAGGTGAGATCTTCTCAGTGTTTTTATGTTTTGATTCTTTCAGAAGACCAAACAATCATAATGGATCTGCTGACAAGAACTAGTCTTGAAAAATGCACTGCTTGACTCAATAACGTTTAACAGCATAAAAGTCTTTCCTGGCTGTGGTTTTTCTTTTATAGATTACAATCGTAATCTTGTTCTGCTTCAAACCCGTTGGCCTCCACGTCTCTTCTCATTCACTGAAAGCAACATAAAGACGTCAGTCTAAATCTTCTTGTAAGTCAAGGGCCCCCAGGCCCAGAGGTCATGCCTCTTTAAATCTTTCCCCTCATCTACTTTCATCAGTTCAATGACCACCAAGCCACAACAAAATGAGATTTATTCCTTTGCAGCTCAGCTTGCCCTTCGCCTCCATCCTTCGGTCCGGCTCCCGTTAATTTATCCTCACTGCTCTTGCCCTGTTGTCCCGCAGTTTTTCCCTTTCTCCTCCTCTTTTAATCCAATCTAGTAATCTTCATGCTATTTTGTATCTCTCTTTACTCAACATTTGTTCTCTTAATTCTTCCTCTTTTGACTTTTACTCGTCTGTTTTCCACTTTTCAGCTGTGCATGGAGCTGATGTAGCTGATGTTAAGATTCAAGAAGCTTCATTGATTTGGAGGAGACAATATGAATCTGCCATATTAGCACCCTGCTATCACTTTTAATACTTTCTCCACATGTAATGTGACATTTATGAATACAAATTGAACAAATTTGATGGAACACATAGAGAAACTTTGAAGGAAAATTTAACTCACTTAAGTTGTTTTTCTGCAGTTCACTTTAAACTTTGTTGGAGGACCTCAGGTTTAGTCAAAGATATCTATGCCTCTGACTGACTTCACCTATCAGGCTGAGGTATAAAAATCACCTCCCCGCCCTTGTTTTATTTTATTGTGTTTCTTATTTGTGCTAAGTTTAACTAAAGAAAGAGATTTCGCTTTGATCAAGATGAAGAAATATTAATGTATTGAAGTCTGATAATAATTCACATGAAGGGTTGAAAGCAACATTTCCGGTGTTCATTCTGCTGTCAGTTCTGTTTCAGACTCCAACATCCTGCTTTTCCTTCCTTTATCAGAAAATCAAACCTGTGACGTCATCGTCTTTTCTCATAAAGAAGCTGAACTGAAAGATAAGGAGGAGATAATAACTACAGTGTTAGGCCGTTCGAACCAGGCAGCGTCCAGCCTTCTATTTCATTTCCTGTGCAGGTGTGAGAAAGATGAACAAGTGAGGGTTCAGTGATAACCTGCGGCTAAAAGGCAGTTTAATCAAAGGCTCTCAGACCCGGACAGTTTGTGCTGCTCAGTAGCACTTTGGTATGGATGTGTTAGGTTTCTATGTGAGGATCAAGCAGGTGTTAGTGCTACAAAACAAACAGGATTATGCCAGCTGATGTATGGTGCAGGGTTTTCGCCTCTCTTCTGACTTATGAGGGTGTAATTTGGAAGTAGAGGTGATCCATTATTTAAATTAGCTCAATTTTTCAAACCCTTCCACCCCTGCAGCGCTGCAATCCATCTGACTGGCTGGAGGAGGAGTCAGCGGTGCACGCCTCATCTATCCGACTTCAACTCTCTTCTTTCACCCCTCATACTTTCCAACTTTGTTTGCACCTCTTTATCGTAGCTACAAGGTGTTAAAATGTGACGTGGAAGAAAAATTATTCTTTTTTATTTTGACATTTCCATAGATGTGCATTACCTTCATTTACCTTCATCTATATTCCTACCAATTCTGTTTGTTTTTTTTCTCTGTCTGCAGAAAAAATGTACCTCCATAGGATGGTGCTGCCGCCTCAATGTTTCCCCACGTTTGGAGTGATGTACACAGTTAATTTTCCATACACATACTTTTTGTATTCAGGACATTGTCTCCAAATACATTATCTGCCAAACAGACACTACTTTTAAACCTAGAGCTTTCAAGCTTTCATGCACTAAACTCCTTCTGGTAGAAAAGCACAAATGAATTAGAATGCTAAATACACAAAACAATTAGATGTATCAAAACAAAACATAAGCTTTGTGTACAACATAGAAATCTGTGAGTTTATTTAGAGAGCCAAATTAAAACTGGTCAAAGACTGGATAGGGCCAAGAAAATGCAAGGAAAGAAAAAAAGGACAAGAAGGAAAAAAGACTGGATTCCTACTGAAGGAAGAAAAAGAACATGAAGACTATATGATGAAGTTAGGACTGAAATATCTTATTAAAGTGAGATTCAAGAAAAAAACACAAGAGAGTAAGGTTTAGAGCAGAAAAGGACAAATAGGACAGAAGAAGATAACATCTGGATCGAAATGGTCAAAGGACATCTCAAGAGACAACACTGACATTACGAAGCCCAATAAATCTAACATATACAGTGTTTTCCTTCAGTAATGTCTCAAGATCATTTTGAGACTAAAGGGTTGTTTCTAACATTTCTTCTCTCTATTTGTTCCTCTTTAGTACTTCAGTCATATTAAGTATAGCTGTTTGTGAATCACATGGACATTTTTCTCCAAGGGTTTACTCTCTCCTCTAAATACTAACACAAGGACACTTATCTGTATATTTTATTCTGTGCTCTGTATTCTAAGATTTTGACTTTAATGTTTCTCTCTTTTTGAATTCTAAGGTAGCTTCAAAAGAAATATTTATTTTTAAAAAAATGCTGAGATTTAATTTTATGGAAAATGAAGAAAGTGAAATAGATTACATCCTTAATACAAAGGTGTTTGCAAACATGCCTTCACTTATTTGAGTGTTTTAACACATTGAAGCACCCACATCAGGCAGCCTGACCTTAACCCGACTCCCCAGTGAGTCCACTGGAACATTTCACTGCCCCTTCCTCCCACCAGCTGAGTGCTAATTTGTCAATCTCAAGTTTGCTGCAAACACACTGCGCTGCAGGGCCATTAGGGCCTCTGCATGGGTCTGCTGCTGAGCGACAGGACCTGCCTCCCTTCAGCTCACTCATCCCAGAGGGTGTGCTTCAAGTCATGTATGACGGCTTCGAGGAACAGTTTGCTCCAGATTGTTCTGCTTCTTCTGCTGTGCCTTATTAGGCCCCAGTTTTAGTATAGCACTGTTTCATAGACATAAATAAACCTAAGTCTGTTATTTTTTAAAGATTTTTTTTGACGCTAGCAGACAGGAGGTAGATATGCAGCAAAGATCTGAAGGTCGGAAATCGAACCCAGAACGGATGTATCGAGGACTATACTTCTCTATTTCTTCCACTACACAATACAATGTTCCAAAACCTTGTTTTGGGACATTGCATGATAAAAATATGCAGTGATGATAAACAGAAACAAGAACATTCTCCTCTGATCTAGACCAGTTCTGATCTAATGCTGAGACTTAAGATCATGTTCATTTGTCATCTCTTAGCCCATAATTCAACTGCTTGGAAATTTTGGGATTTGGCTGGACCATTGAAACACTGTGGATATTTTATTCTTTAATTGTTATGTTTATGATTTGTTGATTTGTTTTGGGTCAGTTGAGCCCCTCCGGACGCCCCCCAATTACTTGCTACCCCACTGACTCACGTTTTGAGTTCAAACAAACCTCAATTTTATTTCAAACAAGATGTACATGTAAACCCCAATACATCTCCACTGGCTTCATCTTCCCAACCCTATAAAAATACTCTGGAGGCGCCATTGTTTCAGATCATTGTCCTGTTGATGGCCCAGTTTGGTTTGGGTCAAGCTTCAGCAGTCAAAAAGATGGCCTCACATTTCGCTCATAAATATTTTGCTGTACAGAGTTTGAGCTCGACTCAAAAACATCAAGGTGACGAGTTCCTGCGGCTGCAAAACGAGCGCAAATCATGATCGCTCCACCACCGTGCCTCATATGTGGTGTTTGTCCTGATACGCTACACCCATGGTACTCTGCATTAAATTCAGACATCTCTTCACTATGGTTTTATCTTTCCATGTGGTTTATGTAGCTCAAACTTTCCAAAACTATTTTTTACCAAAAAAATTGTTTTTCTGCTTTCCTAAAGTGTGAACTGTTAATTATTTTAAGTACAAAATCTCCCACCTGTTAATGTCTATTTTTAGTGAGTAGTAAAAGCATAGTGGTGTCCTGGTTGGCTTCACACAAATAGGATTTCCAAATTTCCTGCTACCTTAACAGTGTGACAATGTCATTGTCCTGTGTGAAGGTCAGTTCATGTTTTAAGTATAATCTCCTACATCACGACATCATGATTAACAAGGGCAAAACAATATAAGAAATGGAAAACATACATAACATGACCTAAAATCATTCAGTTTCCAGTTGGCATGCAGCATTACCAGATTTGTTGCAGAAAACAGATTTCCCTCTGGTGTTTCCCGACTTCGTTCTTGCTTTTCTTCAAATGAACAATCTCAGGTGTCAAACACACAGAATCTGTTTTCAGGTTCTGGTCTAACAAAGGGGTTTCTCGGAAAAGCAGGCCACCAGCCAGGCCGTCCTTACACCAGCGCCCGAGAGGCAGATCAATACTCAGATGAAGTTTTCTCTCTACTGGACAATCCATAATTCATACACTCTCAGGTGGTCCTGTATTTGCTATTGATCGGACTGAGGTAATAACAGCATTACTGATTTGTTGCTTTGATGTTTGGGGAGCGTCTTTTCTAAAAAAACAATTTAAAAAAATGAAGAAATTATCTGGTTTTAAGAATAAATGCAGAAAAAAGCCTAATATGACATAATCCTGAGGTGTCTCTCTCAAGGAAATTTAAACCGATGTGTGGTCAGCCTGCACTGATATAAGCTGGCACAAATCATAAACGTTTGGAAGAGCTTTTTAATCTCTAATAATTTCAAGGTTCGTCACTATTTCCAAGCTTTAGATTATGGTGAATGACTTTTTTTTTAAAAGAACTTTTTTGAAAATCAAACCTTTTCCGCTTTGCTATTTACCTTTCACTCTTATTACAAACCATCACTCTTTGTGTGAATAATCCACAACTCCATGTAGAGAAATGCTGACGTTTTAATATATTGGCTACGTAACATGAAGCAGAAGTTGAAACTTGTAATTCATGATCAGTGTGGTGCCAGAATGTTTACACACAGGTAGGTGGGACAGATGGCCGACACCGGACGGAAGAATGTGTACATGGCCTCATTTGTTCTCTGAAAATCGTCCAGCTGGCTCTTCTTCTGTCTTGTTTATGAGACATCTTAAGGATCTGCAGTTCATCCAATCACAACATTTTTTTTTTTAATATATAATATATGGTGACTTTCTCTTTTTTAAATGCAGAATAATCTCAGAAAAACTGTCATTTACACAATTTGAGTTCTTGTTTGTTTGATTGTTGGGATCCTTGTTAACCACATATGTTTGCCTGACCTCGGTCCAGGGGCCACCAAGGACATGGGTAAGATGCTCGGCGGGGAGGAAGAGAAGGATCCGGATGCAGCTAAGAAAGAAGAGGAGCGACAGGAGGCGCTGAGGCAACAGGAGGAGGAGAGAAAGGCCAAACATGCCCGAATGGAGGCAGAGAGGGAAAAAGTACGACAGACCATCAGGGACAAGGTAAATATTTATAAATCATCATGAGAAAAGATATTAAATTTGACCATCTCTGTCAAGAAAGATGAATTTAAATGGTGCGAATATTCTCCCTTCTAAGCAAACTTTCTTACAATATTTTACTGTGGTCAATATTTAGCTACTCTAGTCCTGACAACAAAATATGCAGTGATGATAAACAGAAATGAGAACATTCTCCTCTGATCTAGGACAGCTTATTTTCTGAAAGGCTTTGTTTTAGCCTCATTTTCTTCATCTTTGTTGCAGCGTTCTGCTTTTATGACCAAGTGGAAGAGCTTCAGTCTTTAGCTCATTTGATCAAAAATACCTCACTCTGATCAACGCCGCTTAGAGCCAAAAATACTTCCAGCAGTCCAAACTACAGAAGACCAGCTTCTTATTTATATTATTAGAGATGCCACAAGAGCTACAGCAAAGCTGTTTTTGGTGCTTTATAGTGATGAAATCTTTTTATACGCTACAGTAATCAAATTGGGCTTTTTTTCAAGTCATCCTTTTCCCCTGCTCAACTGATTATTGATGCAGAGGACGTATTTTAGGCATTGTGGGACGTTTGTGTTTCGGTTTGCAAAGCCTATGATAACGTTTGTTAGAGCGTGCTTGAGATGGGTTGTTATTTCAAATGGCTTCAAAACATTACCATTTCAACCTGAAGTTTTGTTGCATCTGACAAAAATTCAGCTCCTTACTTTCTCCTGACATGTTTATAGAATCCACTTCTTTGACAGACTCTTTTCTTTGAAACTATCTTCAAAGTTTTCAGCTTTTGAAATTGAATTTAGATTATTTTTTTTCTGGACTCATACCACTTATTTAAAGTTAGATATGTCAAAAATGTAATAAATTCAGTCATGCTTGATGCCATCCAATCAAAAGAGTGTTTAAACTCTATCCGAAGCATTTTTGCTGAAATCTTTTGCTTGAAATGGTTTCTTTGTGAAATAAGAAAATGTGCATGCTTTGCGTTTTTGTGCATTAGAAATGGTCATGTTTATTAAACTCTCTTGTCACCTTCATGTCAAGCAGCTGTATCACCCTGCAAAAATGTGTTCATGGTCTTTCTTATGTTTTAATTAACAATGAAATATTTGCTTGTTTAAATAAAACAAACAATTAGCTTATTCTCCACAACTTTATTAGTGTCATTTATGCTTTTCTTGAATGAAGTTCTTTTTTTTATATTATTTCCAACCAATCTTTTGTGATATATTGTAATCCCAAAGGAGAAAATCAAATATAATTTAATTCTCTTGCACAAGCTACGAGGTGAACAAAAACACTTAAATAGAATTAGGATTAATTTTCTCTGTCTTCCTCTTCCCACACCTGTTTTTCTGCCTGCCAGTACGGCTTGAAAAAGAAAGAGGAAAAGGAGGCGGAGGAGAAAGCAGCCATGGAGCAGGCATGTGAGGGATCACTGACACGCCCAAAGAAGGCAATCCCTAGAGGCTGCGGAGATGACGAAGAGGATGAGGAGAGCATTCTCGACACCGTCCTTAAGTACCTTCCCGGACCTCTACAGGATATGTTCAAGAAGTAAAACAGAAAAACAAAGCGAATCAAACGAACCCTAAATTTAGGGTCCGTTCTGGCCTGGGGCCAGGCTGCAGGGCAATGGGGAAGCAGGGATCTTTGTGTCGGAGATTATATGTCAAATGGCTTTGATTCTAGATGTTTGAGTTTCAAAATTCGTCAGGAGCAAAAAGGATCTGGGAGGGGGCGGGGTTTTCTCAAACTTTTAGAGGCTGCACACTGCCTTTGTAGAGACCTTTTACTTCTTTCTTTTCTACTCTTCAAAGATTTCATTATTTGAAGTTTTGGTTTTTCCTGCATTATTCTCTCAACTGCCAAGTAGTGCATGTTTTATCCTTTTCTTACTTTTATGGTGTATTGATTTAGACTGAAGCATTCGTCACATTCCTTTAATGGACAACAACATTCCACAGTGCACACATTTTCAAAGAGCACTGCCGCCACGTTTTCCAGCAAGCTTCAGTCACCATAGTGGGCGTTTTCTACTTTTACAAGCCTAAAGAAGGCCTTTTAATGACATTTGCTACATTAGAAACGTTTTTAGGACACGTGCCTTCATATCATCTCCTCTTTCAGAGGAAGTCGTAAGTGAGGGATTAATTTGTGAGTCAATGTAGTTGTTCAAAGACAGTTTTGGGAATGATCTATTTTGTGTTAAAATAGCACTATTTTTCGCACAAAGGTGTTCAGGAAATCCTTCAAGAGGCCGTTTTGTTTTACAAATAAATTGCCAACAGCTTATTAGACTGCCACCAAGTAAAAAAAAAATGTTAAGCAGGCAAGAAAATAGAAAATTTTATATTCAAGCAGATCTTCCATAACCCTTTGAATAATTTTAATTTAGTCTGTATGACAGATGGAAAAGATATAAACAAAGTTAGCAGTCTGATTGACTTAGACAATCAAACAACTCAACCCTGAAATGCTTGGGAGTTTCTCTTACTCCTGTGGTTGATAAATGTTTTCTCATTTAGATCACAAACTCATATTTTATTACACCTTTTCATTATTATATTTTAATGGATATTACTTATCAGACAATGATTGAAAGTACTGTTTCTTCTATTTTGTTAACGGGCTGCAAAAATTTATTTCAGTGCAACTAAGATTGTTATTTTTCGATGTTCACCTCAAGTGAAGCTCATCGACATCAAGACCAAAGAAATCCTGGTGAGATCTCTCTGTTTCTTTCGTCGCCACCAGTTTGCTTGCTGGTGAAAAACTCTACCATACTGCGTAGAAAACAAAAGTTTAGGCCAAGCCGGAGAGGGACGGGTGTGTGAGCTGTTGCACCTCACTGCCTGAAGAGCTGATAGTACTTCACTTTCCTGCATCTTTTAGTCCAACAACAAAAAACAACTATAGTGATTCGTCACGTCGTATTTGAGTAGATGTACTGTGATTGAGCAAACATCTCTAGTGAAAGTACTTGAATATATGGACGTTCATGGGTAAAACAAAGCATGTTGGTCATTCCTAAACAACCTGATGGCGAGTCAGTGGTTAGTTATGCAGCGTGTGTGATTAATACATTGTTCCAATGTAAATAAATTTAGAGATTAATAGGACTGATGATAAAGCTGCACACTGTAAAACCTGTTCCTTTATTTTACTCATTTTATAGCACAGATAGGACTTTTCACTAGACAAAGCCATATTGTTTAGACTGCAATAATTACTTAAAATGATTAAAAAAAACAGTATATTTCAACATTGAAGCTGTCTGTTTGTTTTCTGTTATAAAATTAGACAAAATGTTTGTTTGTATATCTTCACCACTATCTTGTATACTTCATGTATACGCAAGAAAAATATATGGAAAAAAGAATCCATTGTTAGAAGCGTCTCTGTATTATTATATGTGAACTGTAAGTGTGTGCGTGTTTATATGTGTGTCTTTCTACATGTCTGTGATGTGAGACAATGTTGTTGATTCACATAGTCCTTGTTTAAAACTGTAAATGTGTCTTTGAGCTATAATGTGCAAAGGAAGAAGTTGATTTTGTCTCCTAGTTGTGCCATGCCTGAAGAAAAAAAAAAGATACTCAACACATTCCTTTTAGATATTGAGCATGCAAGTGTTTGGTAGAGACAAGAAAAAACCGAATGTCACACACAAAGAAATATATGTGTTTAATCTTGAGCTGCTGTTTCTGTAGGAGTCTCTAGGCAACAGAATCTGTGCATTGGATCCAGAAAATGAGCTCTATCTGTGGCTTGAGGAGTCTTTCATGTTTTTTGCTTTCTGAGTTGAACAAGTGGAGGCTTCATTGTTTGTAGTTTTTGGATGTGAAGCAAATATAAAGGCATTGAGAGCAGGAAATAATTCATGTGATTTCCAAAACACACTGCCCCTTTTTGCTCCCTAATTTGAAAAAGACCAAACCATTTCCACTGCGAAACTGGTCCAAGTCCCTCCTTAAGCACCAGTTCTTGCCACTTCCCCTCCCACGATTTGGGCTGTGGCCTGAATAAACTGGTGCTTTCTTGTCTGAAATTTAAAACCAGCGGATGTGGAAGGAATGAGATCAACAAACAAGCACAATTTAATGAGCACCATTTTCTAAACTTGTCTAATTAAGGACCAAAGAACAAATTTATAATTAACAATGTGGGCTAGGATTGGAATCACTAACTGTCTCTGATCTTCCAGCCTTTTAAATTTAAATCCAAAATTATTCATAACCCTGGCAGATTTAAAATTCTAATCATATTTGTCCAACTAAGAAGTCCGTTTCTGTTAAGAAGTGAGATGGGCATTTTTTTAAAAATAATGAAAAAGTAAAATGGGTATCAGTTAAGAAAATATTTTTAAAAAATAATAAATTATAATTGCTGACCAGCAGTTTGTATATTTTCACTGGTCTTTGAGATCCAGGATTTGAGGTTGAAACACCTCTTTACCATCACCCTAATGTTTAGTTCCCTTCACAGATTCTCAGGCTGCACTTACCAGAAGAGTGTGCCAGGATTTTCCAAATGTTCTCTACCCCTACCCAAATTTAAAGTTGATTAATACTTTTTTCATCAGCAGTGGAGTCTTGCGTGGTCAAAGTACAAAAAGGACCATTGTAACTGAGTGCTGTCATTGGTTTGATGGAAAATTACACCTAACGTTTTTTCTAAAGCTCTCATCAAATGTTGATGGGCTGTTTAGACTCCTCTGTCAAAAAAAATCTATGCTTGTGTAAAGTGTTTGTAATCAGAAAGGTTGTTACAGGCCAAACGTTTGAACTAAGAGCAAATATATGATGCATTTCTTCAAATGCCTTGATTATTTGGGTTATTGCCAACATCTTGTGAAAAATGAAAGCCAACAGGCCAGTTGCAAATATATTCACTGAAAACAAACATTAAACATGTGTTCAACGCTTTTGTTTTATTTAATGCATCTCACTTTCACTGGCTAATCTGAGGATAATCCCCTGCATTAATTACTTCCAAGCAAAGATTCCTTAAATATATTGTGCTTCAAAGGACAGGCCCCTCTCACCGGCTGTACTTGGAAAACATTAAATGCACCTACACATGGGAGCTACCAAAAAGAGATTTGACTAGCATTTGTCATTGGCCCTTTGTGGAAACAACAGCCATACATTGTCTGTATGTGACATGGTCTCTCGGCGGGACTCATCTCAAGGCGTCACGATATGTGAACTGTCTTTGAAAAGGGCTACTTCCACGTTGTTAATGTGAGGTTAGTGTGGCATTTCTGTTGCATCTGTGCTTGTCCTCAACTCATCCTACGACATAAGATACATAAAAACCAATGAGTAGTTTTAATGCCATTTTTTTTATGGTTAGAAAAAAAGACAGTATAGAAAACATTTGTGTTTTATTAGGACAGAACCATATTTGGAAGTGTGAGCGATAAAAGATTTCTGACAGGACAGGAAATGAAGCCCAGATACATCAGCTTCCTTCTGATGTTCCTCTTTAAGATCCTAAATGTTGATGTAATTAGTAGCGGGAAAAGCATAAACAAAAAGACTGGATTGTCAAAGCATGTTCTGTTGTCAGGAGCCCCAGAAACAAACATTTAAAAACATCAGTTCATCTTCTTCTATTCAAAAACAGTGAAATTAGTGAACATTTTTGTAGAGTGAAGAAAAATCTTCAAACAAGGTTTAGCTTTTATGGAAGATATTTTATTTCTAACATTTTGATATGAACTTACTGCCCTGCTGAATCCTGCCAGTGATTGTCATGTTTACTCTCCCTGTAAGGACAGGAGACATTCTGATAAACACTTGAGCAACTTTGAACACATCTTAGTCTTTGTTGCCATTTGCACTAGAATATGTTCATATTCTTATACTGATTAATTTATTGGCATCTGCAAATCACTCTTGCTTTTAGCGTCTGCAAATGAAGAAGGCGAAAAAGAGAGGAAGTGAGCAGCTTTTTAAAACTTTAAACTGGTGATGTACGTCCAGTTCAAAATACTTAAACATAAATCCCTGAATGTTGTTGATTTGAACTTTCTCTTCAGTTCTTTATTTGTTATTCGGGGTGAAAATTATTCCAGGGTGAAGAATGTAAAATAAGAGTATACTGTGTTTTTTCTTTCAATTTATTTTCTTAAATGCATGTCATGTACTCAGTGTGGAGCCCAATCACTGTAAACGGCATCATCAATGTAACTGAATCATTCTTTTTGGAAACTAAATGCATTAAACAAATAAAAAAGAAGAAGGTTTATAAAAATCTAATGATCTTCCTATGACTCTGAATACTTCCTTGCATTTGTTCTTTATTTATTCAAAAATAATCTGAAATCTGAAGAACCTGTTTAATACCTTTTGCAAATATTAAAAGTACTTACAGATATGTCTGAAGAATCACTCCAGATGCTGTCAGATTGCCTCTTTAATGTTGCATGGAGGATTTTGTTCGTACATGGTGGACTGATGGTGGGCCGAATTAAAAATAGGAACCTAAAATTGATTTCCAGCTATCAAGAGATGATACTTTCCTGTCTGCCTGGAAAGGTTTGCTCTAACAAACTTCAACCACTGCTGAGCCTCTGATTCAGGGGGAGCTTGGCAGCTTTTCTTAGTGGCACAAAGTCTTGGTAGTGGAAATGTGCATCAGATCTTTACTTCAGCGATTGGGTCTGCATGATTTGTGGTTCTGAAGAAAGCGTATGACCATGCCCCCAATGCATTTTGTTTTCTGCTGCAGTAGGAATTGGGGATTCTGGAGATACTCTTACTGGTACCTAACCATCATATACTGAAAGAAAGAGCTGCAAGTGAAAACAGCTGAGTTTGAATGTTAAAATTCATCAGTACTTAGAAATGAAACTGTTTTTTTTTTATTAGTAGAAGTGAACCATTATAGTTTTACATACTACTAGTTTGGTCTGCATTATTTTTTCTTTAATAAACATAAACTCAAATTTGGAAACTAATTTGATGATCTGAAATAAACAAGTGTGACAAACAAAAACAAATAATAAAGAAATCTGAAAGGGTCACATACTGGACAGCATTACACAAACTAAATGCATACACATTCAAAAACAAATTACTAATAATGAAGGCCCATTTATGAAATGTTGCCGTTTCCTTTCTCTTCAAGTTCTACCTCTGTGTCTCATCTGATGTACTTCTGAAATGTATTCATTCAATAATAATTTCTCTGCATTTCTCCAGGTTATAAAGCAGAATGACTGCATTAGCTGCCAAAAACAGCCAGCAGATTGCTTCTATCAAGTAGTTAGACTTTAATCTGTGTTTTTGTTTCATTGCCTAATTTGTACAGTCATAAAGAAGTTCAATTACAAAGTTATGAATTATAAAAGTTTAGATTTTTAGTTTGTGTATTTTGGTCTTACAATATTGAATATGGACAGTATTACTAAAGAGAGATTGATCAGCCAACTGGAAGTAAAGTACTGAAAATTTATTGGACAACAGGTGACAAATTATTGCCGTTTGGGAATATAAGCAGATTGTAATATATTATTTTAGTGTTTCCTTTGTTTTGATTTTAAGTAAATTACACTGTGAAATTATGTTTACCGTTAATCACACTCTTTCTAATTATATTCATCGAAAAGGACATATTCAGTAAGTAATCCAATTTTGTTCTCACAGTTTTTTCGTTCCCATATACTTTTTCTGTATTGCACCAGCACTGACCTGCTGCTGTCCAGTAATTCCTTCCTTCCCCTCATGGCGCTGCCGCCGCCTCCGTAAGTGTTTTGTAACGGATGAGTTACCAGCAGTGATTTGCTCTTTTACAGTCTTGTTAATCCTATATGAAAGACTTGCTGACAGATTAGTGTGTGTGGGTTGTTTCAGTCTAAAAGTCTTTCCTTATTTAAGAGCTTTGAATGACAGAAAACCCAGAAGTGGTGGGGGGGAAAAGAAAGAGTGTGGGAGATTAGCTGCTTTATTTCTGCCGTTACTCATATTGAACTGAAAAATTTTAACTCCCAGCATTAAAGGTTGCATAATCATGTGTGTGCTGCACACATGTGGGCTTTCTCAACCTATTTTCTGTGTGCATGTGTCTGTATCACCACAGTTTATGCTCAAAGCTTGAAAACAAACAGCAAAGGCAGAAAATGGGTTGAGTTTAAATAATGCAACCACCAGATTTTGAAGAAAAAAGGCAGAAAAAACTCTGACCCATGAGAAAACATTATGCAATTTTTAAAGATAAATGGAAAACTTGGACAAAGGCAAACAGTAAGATGTACAAACAACAAGAATACTAACAAAACAAAGGGAAACACTAATTGAGTTACAACTTCATAAATCAGAATATTAGCTTGCTTATTCTTGCAAGCAGAGGTGCGTAAAATACTCACAAATTTTCTCAAGTAAGAGTTGCACTACTTCAACATATTTTTGCTCAAATAAAACTAAAAGTAGCTGCTCGCAAAAGTATTCTAGTAAAACTGTATTTGGTTGAACATCTACTCAAGTACTGAGTAACTGATCAAATTAAAATATATCAAAATCAATTTCTTTCAATAACAAAATTAAAACTTATGAAACTTTAACAACAACTGCAGGTGTTTGTTAATTCAGTGAAGAAATTCTTGACTACATATAAGCCATCAACTAAAAGACAATGGAGAAATAGTCAGTGGTGAAATACTGCCATCTGGTGAGCACTTGACGTCACTACAAGTACTATGTTAATTCCAAGGTTTTGATGTGCAAGTCATAAACAATCTGGTCTGTATTGGATTCTAAAAGAAAATAATTCAATATGCTCTGAACCTTGTAATTTTGACAGTGTGTGTAAGTGTCAAGTCCTGTCTGAAAAAAAATCAGCACATACAGAAAGAAATCAGGAGAGGAAAACATGAATCACTCAAATGTTCCTGGTAAATGGATGAGCTGATTGAACTCGAACAGAACTGAAGGACGCGACTCCCAAAATCATGTCTGACTGAGGAATCCTGGTGTCAACTTTTTTAGTTTTGCTATGAATGTTCTGTAAAATCTGTGTGCTTCTGTCAGTCTTGGCCAAGATTCTCTTGTAAGAAATGCTTTTAATTAATTTTAATCTTGTAAAACTGAAAACATTTTATCAGCTGAACTTCACACCCAAATAGATGTGTAGAAAGACTAAAACAACCGATCAAGACATCAGATTGGAGGCTAAAGCTTGGACACATTTGTGTCTTCCAAATGGGCAATGACCTTATGCACTACACCAAATTAGCTCCAAAGTGGCTTCAGTAAATCAGTAGGTTTGGTAAAAAGGAATGGCGTTAAATTCCAGCAATTTATTTTGAGAAGGTTTTATAAGTATACTGGTTTAAACTAGAAATGTCATCAAAGAAAAAGATGAGTCAAAAATAATCCAGATAAATGTAGATAGGTGAATATAAACTTTTAATAGCTTTCAGAAACAACTGAAATACTTGTGCAGTTTCTCAAAGAGAACAAAAATTTAAATTAAAAAAAAGTAAAAGACAAGGTCCTGAGAGGCATGAACACGCTAAAAACAATCTGCAAGTAAAATGAGCGTGTTACCTGAGTAAAACTTAGGAACATACAGATTCAAGAAGAAAAATAGTGTGCAAAACTATTGACTGTATAGAAAAGGAAATTAAACTGGTACTGGCAGTACCTTCACCAGGAGAAAAGGTACTGCTGTACAATCATGTTATCTTGTGAAAAAAAAAGAATTAATTTAAAAACAAATTACGTTTACAGTAATCATTTAAAGCGATATTGCAAATTTTGGTAAAGATGAACCTTTTCAAAAAAAACTTTGATGGCAGTAAAATAGAAATATTTGCAGCTTGAGTATTTAAGCTCAATACAGTGTCTATATTAAAAACTCAGAAATATGTAGCTGTTGATGTTATTCCCGTAATTAGACAGGTAACATAATTTCTGTGTTTTTACTGGTTTCTGGTATTGTGCATTTTCTGAACAGTTTCTAATAAGCAAAAAGATTTGCATCCCAGCCCCACATAACTGCATGCATTTTTTAACCTACCAGCATCTCAGTTCAACAAAAAGTAGACAACACCAAATCCCTGAAATCCTGGGGAAAATATTGATAACCTGTTATATCATCATTTATTCATAGTCATTTTTTTCCAAAGTACATGTTTTATAAAAAAAAGTATTAAAATTCTTTCTTAAACTTGTGTTTTGTTTTTGCTTTGGTATTTCTCCACATATGAAAAGTCCCTCATGTAACGTTTCCCCTAGTGCTGCAACAAATTACAGTTGCAGTACTATTCATGTTAAATACGCCAGTTTAAAAATTACATTGCCCTTACGCTGCATCAGAAAATAAGCATGGATACCCCTTCTCCCAAGCATGAAAGTGCAACATACTTAATGTATAATATAATGCAACAAAATACAGTCCTTAAATTCAGTAATACTTAAATGACAGTCAAATCAAAGGCAGATTTGAACATACACAAACACACTACAGTACAGCTCAGTTATAATAAAACAAGTATAATTATGTTTCCCTGACCTCAATAACAATGTGTCTCCACGTTAATAATGAGTTATTTCTCCTTTGATTCATCTCTTTAATATAAATGGATTCAATCGAGCACTAAAAGTCCTGGTTGGAAATATTTAAGCAGAATTAATTCCTTTGAATCACATTCAAATTCTTTCAGTATAATTCAAAACCACCTTTGGATATTATTTTATCCTATTAAATTACCTTTTGTACTCATGATTAAAAGACAGTTTATGAATGAAATACAAAGACTATTTCTAACAATGTCAAAGAATATTTCTGGACAAGCTTTTTAACCATCATTTACTGGCTCATTGAGTTTTACTATTACATGCCGTTAAAAAGCATTTAATTAAAAAAAAATACAGAAATGAATAAATACATAAATAAATAACTGGCAAAACAGTTTATATTGTAACAAAATAAGAGTTACATCAAGTAAATTGTAAGTAAGTTGTAACGTCAATGTAGCAAAGAAGCTGGTTGAGCTGATAAGTGCTAACTTGGTACCTCTCCGTCTCGTTGTGCTAAAAGACCTGATCACTCAAATAAAGAGATCAGATGCACTGATGAACCTTTTGGAGCATTGACCCAAGACCACAATCCAAATCCTGGATAAAGAGCTTCGGTGAATGTGGTGTGGAAAGTGTGGATGTGGATCAACGTGTCCAAGGAGACTCTGTAAAAGGACAGCGTTCCTGCCGGCCAGTCCAAATACACAGCTACTCTGTGAGATGAAGTGTGTGTGACC